GTTTGTTCACATCATGCTGCAAAGGTAGTTACAGGTCAGCTGAATATGGCATATGTTCTTATTTCTTTGAAAAGGATAGGTGGGCCAAAGCAGAGTGATAGTAAGTAGAATCTGTTAATATTTGTCACATCTTTCTTTTCTAATATTTAATAGCTTTTCACCCCATCTCATCACCTAAACCCACCAAAGAATTATTTCTTTTAGATAGATAACATAATATGCCTCGTAATGTACTACAAATTTCTTCACACAATATAGCTGAATCCAATTACAGCCTCTTACCAGTCTTTTCTAAAGGCATTTAACACATGTAAATAGTGAAATCCTTTGGTTTTAATTTTAAACTATTTGTAACTCAGCACATTGAACAGCTAATTCAGCTCAAACTGCTACTATTAGATCCAGAAGAACAGAAATCCTTATATACCAATACCCAGCTTCATAAAGAAAAATGAAATTAATTACACAGCTCCTTCTCTAAAGAGCAGTTAATATTGCATGTGACTAGAAGCATTTCACTTCATTTTTAAACCGAAGACTATATAAAAACTCAAAGGACTGTTCATAAAATCGTGAAACAGCAGTACAGAAAGACTTGCTTAAAGGTTTAAGAATTTTTTCTATTTTATATTCACAAAACAGAAAGCTAGCTTAAAAGACAAAGTACAAAGTCTTATCAAATTTACTTTTCTGCTTTCTCTATGCAGCACAAGTTAGAGGTTCTTAGTCACATAAATCATATTATTCATTACTGAACCAGTCTTAGCTTTTAAGCATTACCAAGGAAAGAAAGCAAACAGAGGACAGGATACAAAATAGTATCAGAGTTCTGTCTTCTCCCTTCCTCAACCAAAGTTTGTTTCTTGGGGAGCAAGTCAAACTATCTAGCAGTATGACACAGCAGTCTACAACCAAGCTTTGGCATTATTACTTAAGACATAAATTATTTATTATTGACTGAACCCACATAAGATGAGTGTGCCTACTGAAAATCCCAGGGTCACCCCCATCTCTTATGATATTTCTTAAATACTACAAGAGGAAGAAAAGGGACAAAGCATCTCCAAATGCATCCTGGTGCCCAGGGATCTTAGAGTTAAGATCAGTTTTAAAATTAAACCCTGTTTTTTTCCCATCTGGACAAGGAGGATGCCCACAGAACAGCAGTAAGACAGGTGGCAGCTGTCAAGGCTTCCTCCTTGAGCAACATACTTAAAATTAGTCATGCAATTGATCTTCATTCACAAACAGCCTCAACATTAGTTTCACCTAAGCACATGCTTTGTTACCTCAGCCAATAAAAGTTTTATCAAACATCATTGAAGTCTATGACTTTCAAATACTAATTCATAAAGTTGATTTCTGCTCTCACACAGATATGCTGAGAATGTAGTTTTAGTTACTGAAAGCTTACTGATCTATACAGCTAGAATTCAGTATTAATTTTTCATTTTCAAGGTACGCTGTACCTTATCTCACTTTTAACTGTAGTTAACTCATAATTAGCTGAAACTACTCTTACATCTTTCAGGATGAGGGTGGTTAAAGCATTTAGGCTCTAGCCAAGGACAGGCATATGCTCCATTAAAAGGTTATGAGCTCCTTAGCACGTTCACACTGACATATATACTGATGGGAACTCTAGGAAAGCTCTAGACAAATGGGAAACCATTTTCCTCAACAACACATGGGAAGAAAGCTGCTGTAAAAATTCCACCTCCCTTTTCCTAAGAGCAGATATGCCTAACTACAATTAGGCAAGAGTGACCTTCGCAGCTCTCCATAGCTACGGGAACCTTTGTCTTCCCTCACAATCTCTTTCAGTTTAAGAGATTCTGTGGATACTTAATGACATTGCAATCCACCTCAAACACAAAAGTTTCGTTCACTTCAGCAGGAAACAAGTGCCCTAAGAACAGAAAGGCAGAAAATGAGAACAACCCTCTGTGTTCATGGGTGTTAGCTATCACCAGCCATATCTACACTGAATTTTATATTTGATCTTACAGTTAAATGAATAAATTCAGCTAATAAACTGGATTTTCACATCTTTATTTTGCTTATCTCTGAGAGAATTTACCTCCTTCCTTCAGACCAAGGAAACTATCTTAAGATACAACAGGATGCATTGATATCTTAATTTAACCAACATCACATAAGAAAAGGCTCAGATATTTACTATTGTGCACAAGGGATTAACACCAGTGTGTACATTTGCTTTTTATTCCCACATTTTCCTCACATCTATAGAAAATGAAGATTTGTTCCCATTATACCCAGTAACATTTTCTTTTATTTATTTTCACCACCAGGGTAATTCACAAAATGAAGCCTAATGATCAATACCTCAACAGCAACCTGCAAGAAGCACCAAAACAAATCAAGCACAGGAGTGCACACTGGCTGACAGCTGTAATGAATGAAATTGCTTATCACACTTCAATTCATTATACATTCCATGAAAAAAGACTCACATGTAAAATGAGCTATTCAAAAACACACTCTGCATTTCTATTAATCTAACAAAGTGGATTGTAACAACCTTTACCTGCTCAGCACTGCATCACAACAAAGCAATAGTGCCTGCCCAGATGAGGATGGAGAATACAAGGGGGAAATGGAAGGATCAAGATGACTTCACCTTCTAAGGCTGACTTTGAAGCTACCAGTCTGAAAAATGTTTTGTTTGTTTAGACGCCTTCATGTACCTGCCACAGCTGTGCCATTTGTTTTCTAAATGAATCCAGTACCCTTTTTGTGCTGTGATGCAAATTCCATTGCACTTCTGCATCATTTGGACTTCAGACTGTTGCTCACTGCCACCTGCTGGAGTTCAGGGACTTCATAGTGAAGGAAGCACTGAACACTGCAATGTTTTGCTTGCTTACCAGATCCACCAACACTGTCTTGTTGCAGTTCCAAATGGGGAATTATTCTTAGGCATTTGTTTTAATATTCACACCTCACATAAAAGTTTTGACCTTCTTTGCCTCACAGATAGCATTACCTGGGGAATCTAGAAGATTAAAGAAAAGGCAGAGCTTGATGACTTTACCTGTACTTTAGTCGTGCCAGGTATGTTCATAAACATGGAAAGAGAGGCAAAAATTAAAAAGGTTATTTAACATAAGTTCATTTTTTGAGAAAAGTAAATTCTATTTTTAATAGTAGTCTATTTAGGGAATCAGAGGACAGTTGCTTAGTCTGTTTAGTCTAGTTTCAAGAACAGAGATTAACAAGATTAGTCTGATTTACAGAAGTTACATATTTAATGCAGCTACTGCAAAGATATCTAGAAATATAATGCTAAACACAGAACAGGACATTCTCTTCCTGATATCAGAAACACTCTCACAGCCAGAATTAAATTCCAAATAGGTACTGAGCTCTGTAAAGTTGCCGTAGCAGCGAGTTGCCAGCCTTCTGCATTACCTGCTTAGTCATGTCCATCTCTGTACACTCATGTTTGGCGAAGATGAAGGTGCTCAAAATAGCCTGAATGAGATGGATAAGATACAGCAGCTAAAAATTGATCCAAAACAGTCTGTTAGGGAGCCCCATGCCTCAACACTTTAAAGAGATTTGGATGGTGCAAGTATGTAAGTTTATTTATTTATTTCACAGCATTACCACACTGTCAGGATGAAGCAGAGCCAGTGAAAGAGATTTTATGGCTTAGTGGCCAGTCAAAATCTCAGCCATAGTTTTGAACATCATACGGATTGGCTGCTTAATGCACTGTTATTTTGAAGAGCAGTCCATGAATAAATTAAGCATTTAGATTCATACAGAGCCCAACCCTTGGATACTTCCTTTCAGAGCTTCCCCCCCCCCCCCCCCCCCAACAGTACTTAACTAATGCTCTCTTCAGGCTGTCAGTACAGAAAGGAAAACAGTATTCATGCCTACAGCAACAGAGAAACTGAGGTACTCTGAATCAAGATATTTTGTACCTTAAATGGAGTACAGCAATAACAATACAACAGTTTCCCAAAGATAATGCTTCTTTAGAATTCAAGTCTTAGAGCACTGCTCAGCAGTCATGCACACCCACTGCTCTGGATGCACAGACCAGGAGCAAGATCTACACCTGCTTACAGAAGATTCATTTCTTAGAGCTAACTGTCACTTCACTGTAAGACAGCAGGCACGTTACAGCCTGCTTTTACTCCAGTATCTAATAGAAGGAGGCATCACTGTTTCATAGATTTTCCCAAACTGTGACCTCATAACCTCAAACATGTTTTCTATAATCTAAAATCACTGATCAGAGTAAGGAGAAAAGGAAAGCTGAGCCTCTCTTCCATCCCTCCCTATAAACTATTAGCACACAATGAACGGCACAGCAAAGTTGACAGCAATAGAAGGAGATAGCACATAATGAACATGCTTATAAAGAATACATATTTTTAACTTTGATGCAACAGTGCCCAGAAATCAATGATGAATAGAGCCTTGTGGTACCCAGAACTGTACAAACATGAAATAAAGTGACAGCTACATGCCTAATGAGCTCATAGGCTAAACAAAGAGCTCAGAAGGTTAAAGAGATGCTTTCCACTGACTTCAGTAGGCTTTCGGCTGGGCTCTAGGGCATCTGCAGTCAAACAGCTGCTACAGACTCCTGGAGCACACACTCCAGTAAGCTTCCTAAACTGCCACCCCTAAAGACTAGAACAAAGCAGAGCTAAGCAGGCATTAAGGGCCTTGTTTCTTAAGGTATTCAATTACCTGAAGAAATACAGATGCCTGGAGTTAAGAGTGTAAGAGGCATCGGGTTCCCAAGCCTCACTGAAAGAAATAACACAGTCACACGACAAATTCTTTACTTAAATACTTTTAAAATGTTAATTTCATTTAAAACACAGGCTTTCCATTAGGGTTTAACAGTTGAGGAAAATGACAGCACAGCAAAATAACAGCTCTTCCCATAAGGATAGATTTCTCGTAACTCAATCACCATTTGGAGAACACTGAAAACTATCATCATACTCTTCCAATTGAACTGGAAAAGTGTTCTACACAGAAAACAGGGACTTTTCTACACCATGCAACCCATTTAAAGATCTTTCATTCCAGTCTTAAAAACATTAACTAAAAAAATAGTTTTTGTTTTTCCAAAGTTTCTCTGTGAAAGAAGGGATTCTGGCTGATGTAATAAACCAAGGGAATACATCCATTACAAAGGACTTCTAATAGTGGGACTTCAAACAAACTACAGAAGACAAAGCTTGCAAACCAATTTACGGTTTTTGAACCATGATTGTTCTTGCTCTGTTAATATCCTTGTTTCAGGAAATCACATGGGGGTATTTTTTCAGCCTTCAATAAAATACAGCTTCCAATTCACACCATTTGATAAACAAACCAAGCATTTTGAGGGTGACAAATAAAATCCAGTTTTTCTGCAATCTAAACTTCTGCACCCTTGGTACACAAGCACACCGCTACCAATGATAATGGAGTCATGTTTGTCTCAGGCAGAGAATGCATTCCTCAGTCTTTATGGATTAAAGGTTTATACCCTGTGCTGAAATTGTAGCATCACACTCCATTTGAATGAAATCAAGTATAAAGATGCAATGAGTGATTTGTCTTTGAAAAGAAAACGATTTTTCTAAAATATATTATATTCACATATGAATATAACATGAGATTCACAAAGCGATTGCTTTCATACACAGCATGACTGTATTATCAATGCATATGTCTAAAACATTAGCGAGAACTGGGAGCAGACATTTAAGTCTATGTAGCTTGACAGCCTCTTCCACATTAGTAAGCTGTCTCTGTCCTTGAACTTCTCCCACTCCTGGAACAGCATCTCATCTCCTTTAAGTTGTACTGCTGCAGAGGGAAGTACCTGTGGAAACTGAAGGAAGCATCTTGTGGATAAGATCCTTGTTCTCACTCATCCAGCTTTTCGGTTATTTATTTTGCACACTCCCCGATAATTCCTCAGAACCAAAATCCCTAATAATCTACAGCTTTTACTTCTATCATGTCACCAGTAAGGTCTCAAAAAAAGTACACAGTCCAGGTAATACCTCCACCGTGTCCCTAGCTGTACCAGAGTAACTGAGCATACTGCAGGTACTGACTGGAATACAAATATCATGTGCCATTACCACTGCAAACATATTTTAAGGAGAAAGGTGACAAGAGCATAATAACAAAACCCTGAAAATTGTCCTAGATGTGATTATTTCTAATTTTTTATTTTGTGGATAAGTGACTGCTAGAAACTATGACGTGCTCTTTAAGTACTGACTATTCTAAAATCAAAACTAAAAAAATCTCCCAGAAATCGTAGCATAGTAGCAAGCTGCTTTACCTGCTACTCCCATTTTAATAAATGTAATAAGCATGTCAGACACTGGTATATCTCACTGTGTGCAAAACCAAATACCTATAAAGTGCTAGCATCGCCTTCAGTGAGAATATACTTTCCCAAGGTATGAATGAACACAGGTAAAGGGAGAAAGATAATAGAAAAACCTCTCCCATGTGGGCTAGAGCTGTGTAAATGAGTGCTCGCAACCTTTTGCCAGCTTGCTCCTTTCTTACAACTGTTAAGCTTATAAGAAGCAGTCACTCATTCTTCACTGCTAGCAGTCTCTGCATTTGCAGTCTTGTCAGAAAGTGGTGCAGTAACCACGAGCATAAGTTTAATAAACACCACTAAAAGCTTACACTAAAGAAGCATTAATATGGAGATACAGTGGTAAAAGTGCAGAAGGAGCTAAAGCTTTTGCTTTATTTCAACTGTTAAATCTGTGACTATCTTTACCTGCCTTGCTCTCAATAGCCCTGGTCCTGCTGTAACCTTTGTTTACATCAGTAGCCCTTTCTCTTGGGAAAGGTCTTCTTATACTTAGTATTGGAGTCCTGATTCAGACTGAATTGCCACAAGGTTGACCTAAATACATTGACTTAGTCAGAGGAAAAGAGCTTTCCTTAGCACTGAAGTTGTAGCCTGTGGTTCAGTATTTGTATTCAAAACTACCTGAATTAAGGACAGCACTGAAAAAACAGCATTTAGACTCCTTTGCTTTACAAAGATAATGCAATACATCCTAAACAACAGCTTACACTTTGCTTTCATTATAACTACTCAAATTAAACCTGAGCTTTCAGGCTCCAGTTGAAATCATGGTTAATAAAATAAGCTGCATGTCTGAAAAAAAAAATAAAAATCAAATAAAATAAAATAGTTATGCACATTTTACAAATGAAAAAACTAAAGCAGGAGAAATTAGCAAGTATACCATATGGCTCACCATTTACGCCAGATCTCCTGAACCTTAGTAGGAAGGCTTTAAACCCAAAGATATCTTTGCCAATTGCTCTGACTTCACTCATTTAATGAATTTATTTGTACATTTAAGCGAAAGGGTAGCCCTAATATGCTGAAATGAAAACTGTAGTAAAGATTCAGCTTAGTGTTTTCACATAGACCTGTAAAATGTACTTCTCTCCTCAGGATACAGATTGAGAACACATACATGGCCTCCATGTATCCAGATGAGTTTAACCCTATCTTTTCTACCAACAGCAGATAAAAACAACCAGAAAAAACACAGGAATGGAACGAGCGTGCAGTGGTGAGTCCTCTGAAATCTCTCCACCTTGTAGCAATTTGTGTTCTGAGACTTAAAGTATCTTTCAGCAGGCAACTTAAGCTGTTTTGAGTAGTGATGCCGATTAGGTGATACAGGAAAATTACTCTTTAGTCTCACCGCAACTTTAAAACAATATCTATTTGAAGCAGCAGCAGGGTATTTTCCTTTTTTTGCCTTGCTTCTTGCTCTTTATTTTTTATATATCAGTATGTAAATGTGAAGAAAATATTCTACCAGTGCTGAGAGACATTATGAACAAGTTGCATGGCTGTTTCAGAAAATATATGTTTGCATGTATTAGAGATGCATCACAAATGTTTTTACTATCAGAATAGACAAAAAAATATGTAAATAAAAGCTGCATTTAGTAGCTCAGTAGAAATAAAGGGTGCAGGTAGTGTTTACAGAGAAACTGAAGAGCAATGTGAAAGGAATAAGGAGCTCTGGCAGCAAGAGAAAGGAGCAAGCACAATGAGAAAGACTTAAGGCTGGAATTGCCTACAATGACTCATGGAATTTTGGCATAAAAACACAACATGCAGCAATAATAAGCATTTAAGCATAACTTTTGGCTGTCATAACAGATCACCTAAACATGAAAGTTTTTGGTCTGCCTATATATAGTATATTGATTCAAGTTTGTATTTCTATCATAGTAAAACATGGCTTCACAGTCCAGAAAATCAACTCAAAAAGCAACTGCAGATGAGATCTGCAAATCATATGATCATATTAGAAGTATTTTCCAATGCTATGCAAATAATTGCCAGAATTCAAAGACTGATGGCTTAAATCTTGTAAATCATTCCATGAGGCTTTGGCCTAGATCACCAAAGAAAAAAGAGATGGGAAAAGAATTTATTTTCTCAAGCAACTATGTTAAGCCCATCTTTGAATTCTGCTTTGAGTTTTAACAGTTTTCCAGCATGAGTCACACAATAAATGATAATTCTCTAAAGCAACATTAAGCTCTTCCAAATCTCCCCAGAATGCCTTTTGCCATGATACCAATCTAAAACACAAACAATGAGCAGGCAGCTGTTGTGCTATGATCCGCATGATTCTGACTGCTCTTATCTCATTGTTTTCTTTTCCCACGTCTGGTGTATCCACCTGCTGCCTGTTTAGACATAGATTATAAAGATTTTGGCACAAGGATCATGTCTTCTATATTTGCACAACATCTGCCACCTAGTAACTGACTACAAACTGAGTTTTTTCCTCTCTCCACTGAAGAAAAAAATTCAGACAGATGCATGCTATCGTCTAAAGGTAATTGAAGTTTATTTCCCATTTTTTCTTGCACATTCAGACAATCTACAAATTATTTCTTCAAGCAGATTGGTTAATCAGCCCATTTTCCTAGTAGCCATAAGTGAAGTGAGGCAGCTGAGTTCCACACTCTAAGAAATAAGACTTCTCAAATCACTATAATTTTCCTCTGCTACTCTTAGAGTTCAAAAAGCTTGTAAGGAAAAAAAAGCATGGAATTGGAGTGCCATTTTAACAGGAAAACAATTCTTCCAGCAATGTCAGATGAATATTGGCTAGAGTTTCAAGATCCATCACACATCACAAAGAAAACAATAAGTCACATTTCTATACTTTCCGTTCCTGAGAATAAACCAACCTTCAAGTATGTGCATACAGAAATAAAAGCATCCAACATGACTTCTGAGTTTCAGACTTGGATACTAAATTCTTACACAACTACTTGTATGTATAGGAAAGACAGAATTTAATTATTTTATTGCTTTTTTTTTTTTTTAATCTTTTTCAAAAACATGCCTTCCAGAACAACTGGATCAAATCTGATACTCAGATCCGAGCACAGAAATCAAAGGTAAATCATGCCTGCCTTTAACCATCTCCCACGCTCGCAGATCTACTGCTGTTCCACTTTCTATTTTTTACTCTGATATTAATAGGTTTTTCTGAATGTCCATAACAGGATAATCAGAACACATAAAATACACTTGCACCAAGGTAACAAGGGAAGGATAGTTGTGTATCCACATCAAAGAATTTCACCTGACATATTTCAGGCTTTCTGGTGCACGTCTCATTTTCAAGTACATTCTACATAATACATTTACTTTTTACTACTTATTAGCAGCTTCCTTGACAATCACAGAAGTCACAGAAACACCAGGGTTGGAAAAGACCTACAAGATCATCCAGTCCAACCATTCACCTATCACCAATATTGATTTACACTACTCAGTGCTCCCAGTGCCATGATACCTTCATTGTGTTCCCTCCTTCACCAATCACTGCGGAAGTCACTGAAATACTGCTCGTTTTAAAAGATTCTCTCCATGTGAGAGTAGGGACATAGCCTACTTAGGCTGATGCTAGACTACTAGGAAAGCATCACAGTAACCATAAAACAAGAAGTGAATCATGGTAACTGTCATTGCTGCACCTATTGTTATGTGTTTCAAGAGATAAGCTTAGATCCTTCTCTTTAGTTGTTCACAACAAAATATACTCTCAATTGCTCATCACTAACCACAGAGCATTGTATTCAGTCCATCTTTTTCTGTTTTTCTTGATATTCAGTGTTAGCAGACATAATAGAGAAAGCGGAAAAAGTACTAAGCAGACATTATATGTTCCTCAAAACGCCTGCCTGCGCAATCAGATCCCTATAAGATTTTCATATTCCAAAGCTTCACCCTTGGTGAAGTCCAAGTTACTATCTCCATTCTTCCAAGGACTACACTAAGTAATTCATAGAGTACTTACATACACAAGGAAAGAAACAGATTATGCACAAAGGAAGCACATACTTGATGCACCTTCTGCAACAAAACAGTTTCTCTTCAGCTTTTTTGGTTTTGGTACACCAGTGACTACTAATAAATATTTCACAGAACAGAAACTCCAAAGATATCAGTAAGTCTTAGAATCACAGAATGGTTTAAGTTGGAAGGGTGCTCATGGATCACCTAACTCAAAACCCCCTGATGCATGCAGGACCACCAACCTACATATCTAATACTAGACCAGGTTGCCCAGGGCCCCACCCAACCCAGCCTTGAACGCCTCCAGGGACAGGGCATCCACAACCTCTCTGGGCAGCCTGTTCCATCACCTCACCACCCTCTCCATCAAGAACTTCCCAAATAGCCAATCTAAATCTTCCCTCCCTCCAAACCATTTCCCCTTTTGCTGTTATCTACCCTTGTAGAGAGTTTATTCCCCTCCTGTCTGTACATTCTCCTTAGATACTCGAAGTCTGCAATGA